ATTTTGTGTTCTCCATTCTTTAAGCACCGGTTTGAGCACCGTTTAAGCACCGGCACCGTTTCAAAAGTACCGGTTTGGCACCGGTATCGGATAAAACCTAAACGATACCCATCCCTACTGGTCGGGCTCTATGCTGGCAGCAACCTGCTGCTTCATCAAACTTTTTGAAAATCTACTCCTCCTTTTCCTTCCTGGCTCCACCGTGGTTATACAGCTGCCTGCAGGAGCTGTGCTGCTGACTGAGATCACAACAAGTGTTGCATGTGAACATTAACCACTAAAGATTCAGTGCTGATATAAACTCAGTCATATTTGATAGTATTTTGATAGATAAAAGCAATTTCTTAATTCCTCCTTTTCTTTCATGTTCATCTTGTGGAGGACAAATGCAGCATAGACCAAAAGCACCCCTATTTTAGTCTCTACTCCTGACAGTGGTTGGATGCTAAAGTGTTAGCATACTCATATGTAATGTGGACATCATTACTAACCCATGAGACAACAGGTTTAAATGAGCTCATGCTGCTTGTGCCTCAGATAAATCAATGCATTGCTTATTATTACTCAAATTCAAGATCCTTGTCTTTGTGACTGTTTACTACTCTACGTCTGTGTCTTATTTAATCTCTGCTGCTGCTGCTGATGATGATCCTGTACTTGCCAGCACATTCTGATCTACAAAGCCACATTTTTTCCATTTTACCCTTTAACAGACCTCACATGTTCAACTCACCTATTGTTGCTGATTGTTCCGGGTCGAATGTGTCTTCTGTAAATCTTAGTAGGAGGCTGTTGACAAGAAGACGGAAATAAGAAGATTAGACCTCATCATGACTCATACGTGTGTTTTTTAGTAATTGTATTCTCCTCTCTTGAGGATGCTTTTGAGCTGAAGTCAGGTTTCCGGTTGCCCCGACTCCTGCGGCAGGAGACAGTCTCTTTCTCTATCTCCTTCTATTGATCACTTTGTCCTTCACTTGCAAGCAAGAGGTGATGTCAAGCTCCAGATGACATCACCACTAGATTGCAGTCAGGAGGACAGGGTTCGTTTCTTAACCATGACTAATCGAGTGCAAAGGCCTTAACAGCCCCGCTGACGATGGCAATATGCTCGCTCCTCTCCCTTGACCCAGACGTAATTCTCGTACTTTTTCCTCGCGGGCCATCAGAAGAGATGCTGAAGCAGTAAGTGTTTATTGTTTGAGGGACATATGGCTGATGAACTCATGCAGGGAGACAGCCAAGTTAGAAATGTATTCTGTACAGGTCAGGAAACATGAAACACATACATTCCCCGCCAAGCATTCATTCATTCATGATTTAAGGGCCTTCAGATTGCAGGGAAACAAAATAAATATCTGTAAACTATTCAAAAATAAGTGTACCTATTTGATATTACCAAAGCTGGCTATGGATGATTCAAATTAGGACATTTGAAACTAATCATGGTCTGATTTTGTTTATTGTATTAAGCAAAATCCTATTTAATAATAATACTAAATTGCTTTCTGGAAACAATGCATCACGGCCTGGATGATGCAACGGCAGACAGCATGCAGTACAGCCGTCTAGATATTCTCCTGTTTTCTGGAAATATAAGCAAACACAGATCTGTGTTATGGTGTCGGCATAAAGCCAGTCCTTCCTCTGGGCAGAGCTCATACAGACCAGCCATTAAAAGACGCCAACTAGCAGTACAAGCCCTGTTCAAAAAAAAACCCCAAAAAAACTCTTTAGTATAAGTAGACACATGTTGCACATCAATGAACTGACCCAGGAAATTGGAAAAATAGAAACCATTTCAGCTAATAGTGGACACAGTACTGGGAGTTAAAATCTCAGCTGCAAAGAACATAAATTACTGCAAACTTTTTATTCATTATCATCTCTGCTTTCTGGTTTAAAACCTAGCTGATTTTAACTTTAACACTCTGTCCTTGTTGATGCTGAAGTTCCAAGTCTTATTATTGCCTCTCTTTGGTCTATTTTCAATAGATGGATGTACTTTTGGTCAAGAACTTGTTTAAAGGCTTACAATGGCATAGTTTTCTCGGAATGTTCTATGGATATGGAAGGCACGCTTGTAGTCAACACCATAGTCTACAATGTGATGGTTGATGGCTCAGGGAGGCTATCAGAATTCCTCCAGCAGCCGGGACCACTGTTATGGAGACCTGCAAACCTGGATCATGATCTCTTTTGGCAGGGACACACGCTATAAACTTCCATGCTGATGTGAGTAAAAAGCATTTTACCCTGCGTGGAATATTATCAAGTTGATTTGTGGTTGTTAATAAGGACTCTGATTACCACATGACAACAAGAGCAAGTGTATCGTTTACATGTTTTTGAAGTCCCATCTGGAGAAGGGGTACGCTTACTTGAGCGTGACCGGTTCGGATCGATCCTTCTGCTGGGTTCTTAATGACGGAGATGCTAGCAGTACAAGTAAATGGACTTAAAAGAGTGGCAGCTTCTCGTTTAGCCATCAAATTAGTGTGAACAAAAACAGCCTGTTTCTAGCAATTATGTCAGACGTGCACATAGTTGATGTCACGTACAGAGCTTCTGGCATCTGACTAATGCGTTAGCTAAACAGTGTGCACACTGTAAGCATTTCTTGGACATGTTGTACCGAAACAGTCTGACCTCTGTTAGAATAAAGAACAGGACAAACCAGCACTGAACCGTCTACATCGTTTTAAAAACTAAATTCTCTTTATCCACACATTTGGTTACCTGCTACATCCCTGCTAGCGCTGGCTAACGTTAGCAGGGAGCCACGACATCACTTTGTTGATCACTTGGTCTTACCTGGACTTCCCAACGCCGCTTTCTCCTATTATCAGTATCTTCAGCGTGGTAAGCACGTCGTCTTCCATTCTTCCTTCACTGTATGCTGTGTTACTCTCAATAAATCTCTAAAAGAGACTTGTTAAAGTGAAGCTGACTAACTTGCGACACTGTTTACAGCTCACAGCACAGATAATAATATGACAGCCCTTTGGTGAGACGTCTCACTCCAACCATTTCCGGTATGACTTGTCACTACTTCCGCTGGAGATCTTACAGGATAGCTTGGGAGAAGATCATGTAAGACAAAGGACGCAGTGTTGCAACATGTCGACGTCATGTGTTCGTGTCATTTTAATAGTGCTGTATATTTGCTACTGGACTCTTTAAACGGGGATTTTTCACACTCCGATACATTTGTTACTAATGTAATTTAAAATTTAACCATTTGAAATTCTTATGTCACTGACAGTCACAGTGAATTGATTGTGACTGGCAATTTTGACATTTTGAAAATGGCTCATTTGTTTACATGAGGTATTTATGCATGTCACCGAATTCTACTTCTTGCACTCTGTGTACCAAAAAAGTATTGGTTTATATATGAAAAATATAGGCTCCTATGAATTTTCCACTTTTCAGTCATGTTCACCAGTACCACTGAACATGATCTTATTAATGTTTTTAAATGAATTTACCCTGCAAAACTAGTCCTATTCTAAAGACAGGGAAGGTTTTTGGTCAGTACTTACACATGTAACTGTACAAAACAATATATGTTTTTTTCAAAGGCTACATTTTTGGTCCTCTTATGGTCAGGTCCATAACTAGCTCGACAATGGCAAAAGGTAATTACACCTATGTAGAATACCAAATAAAATTTTATTTTATCTTTAGTCAAAACAGTCAACTATACTCCATCAGCCTTTTGTTTAACCTCCTAGGACCTGGCGTCCACATATGTGGACATCACATTTTGGGTTGTATAGACCAAAATGCTAAATTTTGCTTTACAAGGATCTGATATCCACTTATGAGGGCGTTATACTGCCACTGTTCTATCGAAATTTAAAGCGAATCCTCATATGTGGATCTCATTTTTCTCAGAAACAAAAATAAGGTAAAAAAAATAAATTCCATCCATCCATCCATTCGCTTCCGCTTATCCTTTTCAGGGTCGCGGGGGGCGCTGGAGCCTATCCCAGCTGTCATAGGGCGAGAGGCGGGGTACACCCTGGA